AGTCAATACCCTATGTAAATATATCCATTCAAAACTCCAAGAGGTTTTGTCTCTTGTCACAGAAAGATGAAGGAATTAAAAACTGCACAGGCTATATTGCGTTTGCCTTCAGGAGCTTGATTTGATGAGCTGAAAAGTTAGAAGTGGGATCAGTCAGAGAAAGTGAGCTTAGGTTTTGACAGAATTCAGCAGGATGATGTATGCTTTGCTCCAGGGCCATGGTAATGGGTGGCAGTGAGCTAGTCCATGAGTTTGCGCCCAGTGTGCGTCAATTGAAGGGAGAGAGAAAATCAAAAGGAATTGCATCAGTTGGTATTAAATCCAAGTTCAGGTTTAAGTTTTACAGAAAACCCTGGGAGAAGAGAAAGGAAAATCCTGTGAAATATCTCTGGAAAAAGAGTTCTTTGTGGCAGTTTTTCCACAATTAATTGTTCTGCTATAAGTCACTCACTCTTCTCACTGGTGTCATAGATTGAGCTACAGGTCAATACAAGCCTGTATTTAGACTTGCTGGAAGCAAATGCAGGTTCTTATGCTTCTGATGGTAGCTAGGTAGCCTATGTAAAATGCATGGCTCGTCTCAGCCAAGTTTTAATTAGGCAGCTGTCCTCATTACAGAGCAAGTTTAGCAATTCACTCACGTAAGCAATTCCACTTGCAGTGTGAAGGATAAAATAGACTAGAGTATTAACCACCATCTCACGCTTCAAAAGAGCATCCTGAGGGCAGGGATGTGATGCACTGAAGAGGGAGACAAGTTATACCGATGATGTTTGGTCTATTCCTGCTCTGTGGCCCAAGGAGTTGAGTTTCCCTGTGTGTCAGTCTCGCCGGCACCTGTGCTTTTTCATCCACTAGCAGTTTTCATCTTCTTCCTTCACAGCTGTCTAAATCTGGGGTTCCCTTGGTCTCCTTCAGCTACAAGTTCAGCAATGATGGGCTTCTGTTTGGGCTTGAAAGGATCTTAAAGCTCATCCGATTTCAACCCCCTGCCATGGGCAGGGACACCTCACAACAGACCAGGTTGCTAAAACCCCATCCAGCCTGGCCTGAACACTGCCAGGGATGGGGCAGCCACAGCTTCTCTGGGCAACCTGTGCCAGTGCCTCACCACCCTCATAGTGAAGAATTCCCAGGTTTTATGTGAAATATCTACTTTAACCACTTGGTACTGTTACTTTTGTACAGAATTATTATTTTCACAGGCTGAAAAATATTGGAAAATGCATGGAAACGTTATATTCGGAACTCCAGGCTGCGTCCATGGGCAGGGATCTGTCACTCCGGCTTTTATCTAGCTCCGATAGCAGTGAGAAGATGGGCTTGGATTTCAGAAGACATCTTTTTACTGTGGGAACCTGGTGCTTACACAACAGGATTGATATTTTGGGGTACTCTTGATCTTCAAAGTGGTGAAAAGAATGATTGATTAGACCACAACTTTTCAGCCATTTCTGACTTGCAAATACCCCCCTTGGCAGCTCCAGTTTCTGCATATGTGCATATGGGGCCACATAGGTCCTGTGGATTTTAACCTACTTCCAGTAAATTTGTCTTGATCTTTCCTGTCTTACGTGAACGCCTCAGAAGTTGTTCATGGATCTCTCTGCGTTATGGTTTGAAAACCACTGGACTAGTCAACCTGCAGCACCAATGCATGTGTGAACCAGTCCTAGGCTTCTCTTTGGTGTAGCAACAGAGTTTTGTGTCTGAAATTACTGTGTTTCACTTAGAAACCTTAGTACCTTGTGAGCTGTGTGACTTGGCTGTATCAGAGTACCTGCTAAGGTTCTGAAAGTCTTTTCCTGAAGCATATCTACAGGCAGGATTTGTTGATTTAAATAGCTATGTGGCTCACGAGTCAGTGAGGTTAAAAATGCAGTAGGAAACCACTGTAAACATTGCATCACTGGCTGAGGAGGATCTGGAGACACGGAGTCGAATGGTCAAGAAGAAACTCACTTCAAATACATCTTGGATGGCTGCCTGAGAGATGGGAGGGATTCAGCAGCTGAGGTTTACATTACAAGTTGGGGTGGATGTTTCTACCAATAAATACGAGCAGCCTTGCGTGCCAGTCTGCAAGGGGGACTGTGCTAGAAAGTGACTTTGTTTTGCCAGATGTGGGCTGCTCCTGTTGGCATCAGTGGCAAAAACACATCCAGTTTAGCAGGAGCGTTTTTGGGCCCTTCAGGAATATTTATGGAGGTACATGGCTATATGGTCTGTAACATAGAACCGATAGGCACAAAAGTCAATCTTCATTTCCTCATGTATAAGCTAATGGCTTATGTGAAAGGTTAAAATTCACCAGCTGAACGTTGGCTGCATTTAATGGAATCACAGGCTGCTCAGGAGAAAACATGAGTATTTACTGGTAGAAATGTTAACAGACTGGTCTATGAAGCAGTAAACATCACCAAGGATTTCTAAGCCCGGGTTTTCTTAAGGAAAGAAGACTCCCAAACAAGTGGCTGTGAAGAAGAGAAATTTATGGAATCAGCATGCCTAGAAATGACTCTGCAAATGGTAAATTTGAGAACAAACTAATAGTTTAAAGAGAAGGCCAGGGATAAACTCTTGTATTACTAGAGGGAAGCAGTTGTTCTCTTCCCCTACCCACGTCCCCACCTGCTCTCTCCTTTTACCAGCTCTGGAGCTCACCTACCTTAGCTGATGAGCCCATTCAACTCAGTCTAACAGAATCATAGAATCATAGGATCATAGACTGGTTAGGGTTGGAAAGGACTTTGAGATCATCTAGCTCCAACCCCTCGGTCATGGGCAGGGATGCCTAACACTAAACCATGTCTCCCAAGGCCCTTTCCAGCTTTCTCACTGGATTAGTTTTCTGCTGTTCTAATGTGTTGAATTGGCTTAGCAGAAAAGGAGACAAACCCACTACCGAAGACGGGCAGAAGGTCCAGGCCAGGAGTACAAGAAGGAAGAAGTAAGGGAGGTAATTCCCCTTTTTGAGGCAGCAAGGCCCCTGAACACCCCAAGCCTTATTGTACAACTTCACCCCCCTCCGTGTGTGCTCCTCTGCAATGTGACCTAAGACCCCATCCCAGACAGCTGTGAGATTGCTTGACCATTTTAAGGAGAAATACTAGGAAGGGCACAGGAGGACCTTCAGCCTTTGGTTATTTTGCCTGTATTCCTTACAAAATGGATAGATGCAAGCCTCATGTAAAACATTTTCTGCCCCGTAGCCATGTCTTGCTATACAGCCAAGCACAAGACCAAATAACCAGTGCTTGGTGAGGATGCGTGTGGACAGTAGGGCAGATCATATGTGTCAGTGCTTGGGCAAAAGAGAACTCATGTCAGCTGTGGGGGCAGGTCCTTGTCTTTTGGGGCTGTGAGTTCTACCAAGTCATGTACTCGATAGTCCTCCTTTCTGCCTTGTGTCTATTGTCTTTCACTCTGCTTGTGTTCCTGATGTCATGCCCTCCCGCCTCCCTGCTCCCTACTTTTTAACCTCACTTTCCATCTATGTCACTGTGGTCTTCAAAAAGGATTGTTTGTAGCCACTTTTATTAGCAGAAGGAAAAACAGAGGAAGACCACAAGAAAGGAGGAAGCTGCAGAATAAATAACGATTGTACCTCACCATGAGAGCTTCTTTTGATCCGCTGCAAAAATAAATAAATGTCTCCATACCAGCCGGTAAGGAGAGGTGAACAGATCTGTGAGATACAGATGCTTTATTGTCTAGGATATTGTTTTCTTGATTTGTATCTTGCAGGAGCAATGACAACATGTCTGCAAATGTCAAGATGTTTTGGAGAGATTTTTTCTTACCTCTCCCTGTCCTTGACACTTACATTTTAATTCAAGATGTTCTCATCAACACACAGAATCACAGAATGGTTTGGGTTGGAAGGGACCTTAAAGCTCATCCAATTCCAACTCCCTGCATGGGCAGGGACACCTTCCACTAGACCAGGTTGCTCCAAGCCCTATCCAACTTGGCCTTGAACACTGCCAGGGATGGGGCAGCAACAGCTTCTCTCTGCAATCTGTGCCAGTGCCTCACCACCCTCGCAGGGAAGGACTTCTTAAATCATTTCTAGTTAAGGAAAATATATATTGATTTGCACACAGACATAATCATAGCTCCTGATGCGTATGCTTGGAATAGCACCTGATGTCTGCTTTCAGTATTGCCACCTGTAAATAAGTAGGACAGAGCCTTCCCCAGTTAGTGCTTAACAGAACTGGTATTTTAGCTGCTGAGATGGCTTTTATTTAAAACACGCAGGAGACAGCACAAGAGCAATGTTCGGTAGCTAAGGCACGTATAAACATCAGGTTAACCTGACTTCAGGACAAGCGCTAATACAAGGAAAGCTCTCCACTGGAGAACGCCCTGTCTGACGCAGATGGGGCCACGGCTTCCTGTGCTTGAGCAGCTCCCGTGTCACCCTGCCTCCTGCTTCTCCCCTCGGGTCACCCTCTGTAACGAACCGGCGCACGTCCGCAGCCCGCTAAGGGACCGGGCGCTGCAATAACCACACACGGTGGCGATGGGGAACGTGCTTCGGGGCGGGGGGCTGAGCGGCAGTGCTGCCGCATGGGAACCCACAGCCTCGCTGCAAGTGTAAGGCAGGCTTCTTCGTCCTGGTCTGTCGGGCCGGTCACGGGGCTGGGTGAGGACGATCCAGTCCCGTGTTCTTGTGAGGTTCCCTCCTCACAGCCGCTCCTGGTACCCTCCACCAGCAGTCTGGCACAACCCCTGCTCAGACCCCTCCTGAGCCACAGCTGGGATTAGCAAACCGAAGGCAGGGTCACGCTGTCGGGAGCGGCGGTCAGAGCGCACGGGGCGATGCCTCCCACTCGTGGTAGTGGTGAACTGTGAGAAGGACTTAATCTGAATGCAAACCGCTCTGCCCCGGCATGGCGCACCTGCACCCACCGTCCAGCCCCCAGCGGCGGCAGGGCAGGGCAGGGCCGGGCCACGTTGCCGCCTCCCGCCCGCTCCGCCTCAGCCTCGCTCCCGGGCGGGCTATAAGAGGCGGCGGCGGCGGCAGCAGCGCCGAACTGCCCGTGCTGGCGGCGGGAGCAGGGGCAGGGGCGGCAGCAGCAGCGCTGGGGCACCGCCGCAATGAAGTCGCCTCAGGGCCAGCGGCCGGCGGGTCAAGGTGGGAGCGGCTGGTGAGGCGGGGCGGGGGGTCTGAGGGAGGGATGGACGGGCGGACGGAGGGATGGATGGACGGACGGAGGGATGGATGGATGGACGGAGGGCGGGCGGTGGGTAGGTAGGTATCACCTTCGGGCGCGAGGGTCGGGTCCCGGTCCCTGAGAGTCCTGACTTTGTTGCCTCCGCCCGGTAGCTCTGAGTGAGGACGGCGGCGGGGGCCTGGCCGAGGCGCTGGGGGAGTTTGACACCGTGCTGGCCGAGCTCTCCTGCCCCGCCGGCCGGCGCCGCTTCCACTACAGCGAGCACCTGGAGCGCATGAAGCGGCGGAGCAGCGCGAGCGTCAGCGACGGCAGCGGCCTCAGCGACTCCGAGAGTGAGTGTCCGGCTGTTCCACGGCGGGTGTTAGAGGCAGTGGTAGCAGCAGAAGGCGAAGGGAGGACGAAAGCTCCTGGGGGAAGCCACATCAAGGCTGGGTTAGGAGGCGGGGGTGAAACACTCGCTACGGGAGGAGGTCAAGTGGGCTCCTGGGACAGCGGGGCACCCCGGCGCGTCAAAGGAAAGACGTTTTACAGCAGTCGTTCAGTCCCTGCAGAGGTCCTATAAGAAACCTGGAGACAGACTTTTGACAAGAGTGTGTGGTGATAGGATAAGGGGAGATGGCTTTAAACTGGGAGAGGGGAGACTTAGGTGAGACACTAGGAAGAAATTCTTCCCTGTGAGGGTGGTGAGGCACTGGCACAGGTTGCCCAGAGGAGCTGTGGCTGCCCCATCCCTGGCAGCGTTCAAGCCCAGGCTGGATGGGGCTTGGAGCAACCTGGTCTAGTGGAAGGTGTCCCTGGCCATGGCAAGGGGTTGGAACCGGGGGGGCTTTAAGGTCCCTTCTAACCAAACCATCCCATGAGGTTCTTAATTTAACAGTGACTGCTCTCAGTAGCAAAAATATGATTTGAGAGAAAGTTAACTAAAGTGTGCTTTCCAGAACAGGTGGAAACTCGTACAGGTTTATGGCTTAGTGTTATCATTATTTCAGAGGTGATGATTTTAAGCTAATTTGCACACAAGTGTATCGATTGTATACAAGTGGTGCATACAGAACATAGCACAGGAAGGGTGGGAAGCAGATACTGACTCATGACCTGCTTTGGGCAAGAAAACAGAATTGGAACTAAGCTTTTTTTTTTTTTAACTTGGAAAAAAGTTTTATGCCTTTTATTTTTTGGTAGTCTGGGAAAAAAAAACTTATTTTCATTTCCAGACAATGAGGCTGGAAACTGCTGTTCTCCTTGGGGGCAGTAGACTCAAGGTCTACATTGTTAGAAGCAAGTTCTGCTAAAAACAAACTATACCCAATTTTTTAGTCCTTAACTATATAGGAAAGCTTTATGAAACTTATCTCTTTTCCAGCTATTTGTAATAAAATTGCTCCCCTAATTTCTGTTTTAAATATTTTACCAGTTCAGGGCCTTACTTCACAGTTCTGTTGACTTAGTGCTAAAACATTAACGTAATCTTCCTCATACTGAAGCTATGAGAGCATATTATCAGAGCCCTTTATTTCATCAGCACGGGCAGGATGAATTTCACTTCATGGACAGGTAATGTTTTACCTGCCCTGAAGGTGGATGCCCTGGCTGTCAGTGCCTTTTGGTTTGTATTTTCTCCTGTAGTCAGTGGAGATACGTGGATCAAGATGTTGTGCTATTTCATAATGCAGTGGGTGAATCACTCCTTGTAAATATCTCTCTCCTTCTGAGGAAGGTTTGGAAGTGCGTGCCCAATTTAGGCTGGACACTAGCCTTTTGGGTGGCTGAGGGTGTGTAGGGTGAGGTCTGCCTTTACTGGGACAAGCTTGTGAAATATGTGAGCCCTGCTTCAAGTAATAATAAAAGCTTATTAACAATTGCAGCAATACAGCCCTAGTGTTACTATTTCTTGTGCAGTCTTCAGTATTGTGATACATTAACCTCTTACATACTCTTACCCACAAATGAGATGTTTAAAATGATAGTGAAATAATTTATTTCTAAGAAAACCATGAAAAAAAAAAAAACAAACAAAAAGAACCCACCCCCCCCCAAAAAAAAAAAAAAAAACAGAATCAAGAACTTACTTTTCTTGAACAGATAAAGACATCTGTAGTTGCTTGTTCAGAAAACTTAAGTCTTAAACACTGCTTAAAATTGCTGTTAGAATTGAAAGGAAGGCATTTTGGAGGAAGATGGTGTTCTCTGGCAAGGTGGGAAGCCTGGAGAGAAACAGCATCTTGTGTGAATGGGCAGATCACATCTTCAGGAAGATCTGGAAAATAAAAACATGTGTCACAAATCTGCCCTGATTTAGATTGAAGACATTGATTGATAGCAGGATAGGCACAGTTTGCTGGCTGTAGACAAAGTCCTCAAGGATCTTCCATGAGAAACTTGTCAAGCTTTCAAATCCCATCCAGCGCTGTGGTTCCTCCCTTGGTGATGCATCATGTGAAAGATGGCTCTACAGAAATTGAAATTGCTGTCTTCTGGACACTGGCATATACTGGACTAGGAGGGTGCACCAAGAGTAGCCTATTGGCATCCAAAAGTGTCAGCTGTATGAGGATATGTTTAAGAGAGGAGAAATGGTAAAACAACCATCTCTCCTCGCTTCTTGGAGAAGGCCCGATAAATCACTTCTTCCTAAAGGCATCGTTCAGTGGAGACAACTTCTTATTTTGAAGTTACAGCAAGATTGGAGAGGAGCTGCAATTTATAAGGAGAACCTTTTATAAAACGTGCTTCAGTGTCTGATGTAATCCAGCTACACTCCCTACATCTAATTTAAGAATAGATGCAGGGAATTTCCTACTTACCCAGGCTCTTTCTGTTTAAGCTCATTTTTTTTCCTCTTAGGTTCACCTTTCCTTTGGTCTATCTTGTTTAGTGCAAGTGTAGTACTGAATTTGTGATTCTGATATTCCCATGGTAATGCTCAGGTTAAACACCACTGCAAGGTGAAGGAGAACATGGGCTGAAAGAGCAAGTTCTGACAATGCAAAAGGAATTCCAACAATATTACCTGCAGATAATTTGAATGATCCTCTTGTACATGAGCAGTCTTTGCACCTTTGCAGAATCTTGTTATCCAGTGCCAAGACTCTTCCAAGTGTGCTTTGTTAGGTATGCATAGAACAGTTCAGATTATTGTATTTTAGCACTATCTCTTCTTTGTTGGTTTATCTAATCCTCCTAACTGCTGTAGTGTGGCTGAAGGTTAGGCGTATGTATCTTTTGGCCACTCCTGCAGTGGTATCTTTTGCGTCTAGGGTGGGACTGCAAGGGGAGGTGATGATTTAAACTGTTGCAACTGCCTGTTTCAAGGCCCTTGAATCAATCTTAAATTCAATTTTACAGCAAGCTAGTAATAGATATCAACTGGTCATGCTTGATCAATACTGTTTATTAGGGTAAGGAAAGCCTTTCGTCTCCTCGGGCTTCTCCCATGAGAATGAGCCCATTTAATTAAACAAATATTTACAGAAGATCTTCATCAGTTATAGTTAATCCTGCAAGTATTGCTTTTAACCTTAAAAATCCCCTCTTGAGTGGGCTAGCTCCAAAAATACCAAGTGAAATTCTGATCCTTCATATTTTGTGCTCCTAAGGAAAAAAACAAACTTGAAGATACTGCAGTGGAAAATGGGCAGGATAGTACTTGGTTCTCCCACATCTTGTCTTGTTATTTGAGTAAATGCTCTTTGGATGAGCTCTGTCTTGGCCATGGTTAAGTATTGTACATAACATGATGGACTCTAGACCTTACAGTAATAGAAAGGCTTGCATGCGCAGGTGTTCGTGATGATCTTAGTACTTGGCCCACAAGCATAACATTAACCACAACAGCTGATGGGGTCAGTGCTGGGAAATCATGATGCAACTGTTACTCCAACATTCTTTGAGTTACTGGGCTGTGAGTATCAGTTATGTTTCAACTCGATGTATTCAACTGCTTCAATGTATAACAGCTTGTAGTTTAGGTTATTAATCATGCTGAAACCTCTAAGTTGAGGGATACCTTATAACTCTTTGCTATTTTCAGCATATGTTGATTGTGATAAAATAGGATTTGTGTTAGTGTGCTGTGCTGGTAAAAGCCACTACTGTAGATGCAGCTACATAGGCAAACTCTTACAGATATAATTTGCTTCCTGTGTGTTGGAATAAGCTTGCAGAGAAAAGCGCAGGCTTGCCTGTGTAAATCGCATGTCCTAGTATATTGTGCTATGTGCTAATATATTGTACTAAAATGATGTCAGTGCATTGTGCGAGTACAGTATATGGCAATGTCAGGATTAGTATAGTGAAGAGAAAGTTGGACTTCATGTGAGGTTGAGAAGGAAAGTGCTTTAGTGTTTCCTGTGTCAAAGTTATAATAACACTGAAAAGCTAAACCATAATCTGCTGTTGTGCTCTGAGAAGTGCTTCGTATTTTTAGCTCTGGATGTGTTTTCTTCAAACAGGTTCAGCGTCCAGCCTTTGTTAAAAGTGTTGCAAAATATTTTTTTTTTTTATTTAATCCTTCACTCTTAACAGCCTGCAGTGTACCTTCATAGTTATTTTTAGGAATATGTAAAGGCTTTATGACAGGTATGTCCTGGCTTTTAAATACAACAAAATCTCCCTCTAAGTGCATCTAGAACTCCTTCATTTTGTAATTTCAAAATGAAGTAGGTGCAGGTTTATTAGGGGGTTGAACAATATCTCTTAGCACCAAATGCCTGCTGTAGTGCAAGCATTCATAGTTACATGCCATGGATGTCTCTGTGTGCTTGTGCTAATGCCTGCACTATCTAGAGATGAAGCATTGGTCACTTCATACTGCAGCACTCATCCTGAAAAGCCTGTTTACATTGGCAATCTTGCAATATGTGACAGTAAAGAAGGTATGGAAAAAGGCAACAGAAATGACTGAAGGCATAAAATAGTTTCCAAATGATTAAATAGACTGGAGCTGTCAAGCTAGAGCAGAGATGTTTTGGGTGGGACAAGCTAGTCTTCCAGAAAATCCTAAGTGATATTAGGAGACTGACTTCTACCTCGCCCAGAATGAGGAAATCAAATTAAATCAGCATGTTTCAAGAAAAGAAGAGTGATTGCTTCTCATGGTGTATAGTTAAACTGTAGAACATATTGCCTTAAGGTATCATTGATGTTAAAAGCTTACACCCTCAAAAAATAACTAGATAACTCTTCTACAGGCATCTGCTATGAGACACAAAATGTGGGGTAGGTGAGCTTTTCCTCTTAGCAGCAAATCTCAGTCTTGTATGATGAAGAAGAAAACATTTTGAGAAGGTAAATTGTTTCCTCAAATATTTAATGGTCTATCCCCAACAAGAAGGGAATAGAATATTTATAATGAAAAAAAAGAAGCAAGACTCCCATGGAGAAATAACATTTTATTAAATGATGTGATTAAATTACCAGTACAATCAAGGGGAAGAAAACCCAGATGTTTCAGGTGCACAAGTTTCTCTCCAGGTACTTTAATGAGAAATGTGCTTTTTTTGATAGGATTTCCCATTCTTTCCAGCATACATGTTCCTCTTACGCTTTATAAAGGAAGTATTAAAAAGGGGGAAGGTTGGAGTTGGAAGCACTGTCTCGCAGGTAGTAAGTGTGGTGAGGGAAGGGAAAGGTAAGCTTTGTGAATAATGAGAAGGCATGCTTGTATATCTGAATTTCAGGCTTCCCAGGTCACTTGTAACTGTGATTTGAAATCTTTTAAACCACAAAGCGTAGATGTGTCAGTACAGAAAATGTGTGATTTTTATGTCAGCATTGGAACAGATGTTTGCTTTGTTAGCTTAGGCAAAAAAAAATCACAAAAATAAACATTGCACCCAAGTGTAACTGTGGTTATGATCAAAATAAACACTGCCCTTGAGGGCTGCAACATATGTATTGTGAAACAGGCATCATGAATATTTCTCACTTCTACTTGTGGCATTAGAAATCTCTGATTTTACTCTCATTTTTTAGCATGTAGGCTATGTTCTGACTGGGAATGAGTTGTTCAGTCTGAGCATTAAATGCTGAGCTACTGTTTTATAATGAATTCATGGCTTATAGGGACTTCAGCCAAATTTTAAAGCTCCTCTCTCCAAAACTTAAGATGTGATTTATTTCCACCCTACCCCCCAAAGCTTTCCCCACTGAAAACTATTAAAGATTTTTGCCCACTCCAGTGCTCTTTAAAATTGTATCTTGAACTATGGTACTAGAAAGAGCATAAGATTAAAGAAGTCAGACAGCTGAACTTTTTCCGTTGCCTGTTTTAAAATTAAGTTTGAGGTTTCCATCCTTCCGTTAGTTACTTACCAGAACCTTTCAATTGCTCATTTTGTGGGGACATTCCATATTTACATGGTGTTGCCCTGGATTTTCTTTGTGGTTTAACCATATACTGGAACAGCAAAGGTCAATACTAACTACAGATTACTTTGTCAAAGTAAAATATGCCCATGTTTATTCCATCCCCTTAATTTTGCAGTTATTGGTTTAGTTTGTTTCATGTAAATCAGTAGCTTAACTCTCCCATTTTAAGGACTTGATTTAAAAAAGACAACTTGAGTGTTTTGGGTTGATTTTTTGGGTTTGGGTTGATTTCTTTTTTTTTTTTTTTTTTTAAACAGCCAAAGGGGCATAGTATGTACATGCACAGGCAGTAGAATCAATACACAAAGTGAAAAATAAGGAATGAATGATAAATGAACTTGCATCTCAGTGGGAGAGAAGGGTCTGGATGAGGAAGGACAGCAGCAATGAGAGATCCTTGGCATCAGCCTCTGGTTATTGGGTTGCAGAGGATGTTGCCTTTGTATGGCAGTGGAATTCTTCCAAGGGCCATTATTGGAGGTGAATGGGCAAATCTTGACTGTGACAGCTAGTAGAAAGCCAGGACTTGAAGTGTCCTTTTCCCAGAGCTTTCTGCCCTACAGACACACTTTGCCAAAGTGGGTATTTTTATGTGACAGATATCACAAGTATTTATTTTTAAGAGTGCGTTGTTTTCAGCATTTGTTATAATGACCTTAATGGCAGAGTCAATGCATTCCTCCTTCTGTCATCAGAATTGCTGCTGCATGGTGACATTTGTAAGCCACAGCCAGTAGGTAGAGTTTGGTTTTGCTTTTTGAGGAAGATAAATGTTGATATTTTCCTGAAACTATTAATCTTACAACCCATCAGAAGATAACACTGGTTTGTGAAAACATTTCATCTTGTGAGACTGGAAGAAAAACATTCAGGTATTTTAAAGCAACAGTTCTGTCTTATTTTCTTTTTTGCCAGTTGTAAATATTTACCAGCATAAGGTTTGGGGAAGCCAGTATGAAATAACATTTTCTGGTTTAAATATGTTTTGAGGTGAGCCATCAGTACTTTCAACTGCTTATAGAAGGAATATGAAGAGAAAACCACATGAAGAATCAAAGGTGGCTACTAGCTTGGATGTATGCGTATGTGGATATAAAAAGAATTGCATAAATAGTTTGCAGATAATAAGCCATTTAAATTATAGCTTTCATAATTTGAGTTGCCCTCACAAGCATTCACAAAAAGAACATTTTATTCCAGCTATATATAAGAGCAACTGGAGCTTTAGATTTGGTGTATGATAAGGATTGATTTGTAACACAAATTCCCAGCATTACTACATTTGGTGTCTGGATACTAATAGCATTGGCTCCCTGTTAAAGTACACTCAGTTTTGTAGCCATTGTTCTGTGGGTTATTTTTTTCTTAATTCAATGAGCTCAAAAAGCTGTAAAAATATTAAATAATTTGGAAGTTTTTGTTCTGCTCTTCTCAGATCCATTGCCTAGAAAATGTCTTATCTATAGTCTGTTCCGTCAGTGTTTCAGTGAGTTGTGCTCTTGGCTACAGAACTGCTTGTGTGAGTTATTTGGCTTTTTTGTGGTGCAAGGGGTTTTGTTCTGAACAGCAAGAATTTTCCATTCAGAGCTTCTTGGTCACTAGGGTTTGCATCTTGGCTGGAAAGAAATGTGGATTTAGTAGAAAGTTGGTCTGTAAGCTGATTTCAGGAGGAAATTTGTTATACCTCTGTTACTTTCAAACTATTAATGTGCAGGGTTCATAGTGTGGGGTACAACACCAGGGACACACATAATTGCAGAGCAGTGTCAGATTTACACCCGCCTCCTCCCCACCTCTGCCCTTAGGTTGCTTTTTATGGTTTTAGGAACTGCTTGGGGTTTTTTTTTAGAAAAAAATAGTGCTATTTTTTCCAACTTTCTGTCTAAAATTATCTAAATTCTGCATTGTATCCATTAAATCTTTCTCCTATCTGAAGTTTCAAGTAGATTGGTTTTGACCTGCTCGGGTTTAGAGAGAACAGGCTCTTAAAAGTGAAGATAAACAAATTACAATGAAAAGCTAGCAAGAAGCAGCATATCCCTTTTTCTAAACAAGAAATACTGACTGGTGGCTGATTTGGACAAGCAATAGTCCCAGGTAATAGATGTCAGTCATGCCATTTGCTTATGTTTCTGTTGTTCTGTAGGTAGCACGTGCAGGAGCTGTTTGAAGAGTGAACTGTGAAAGGCACAGTACTGTGGTGGGCTAACATACATGTAGAAAAAGAAAACGGGTTGAAGGTTGAAGCTTGAAGCTTGTCACAAGCCTTTTCAGTGTGTATTACAACAAAGGTAGGCTTGGAAGCTAGCACAGAAGACACAGGGAAACATAGAATCATAGAATAGTTTGGGTTGGAAAGGACCTCAAGATCACCTAGTTCCAGCCCTCTCTGTCATCGGCAGGGACACCTTCCACTAGACCAGAGTGCTTAAGGCCCTGTCCAACCTGGCCTTGAATGCTTAGTAGATGCAGCTATCTGGCCTCATTTGGCACTGTACCCCTGTACACCTGTAGAAGGTGGTTTAATGCTAGTAAGGACAGCAGGCTAGAGGAGATGGGGTGTGGAGACACACTTCTCTTCCCAAAGATGTGGAAACTTACAGTAGAGGAGTAGTCTTCTGGAGAATGATGGTCTCTGTGTTTGATATCTGCGAGCATCGTGGCAGTATTCAGTAGAGGTGGAGATCTTGGCATGGCAAGCAGTGTTCATGCCTTCTTTTGCTAATTCAGCAAGGCACCCTTAAATGAAGGCAGTCACCTCCTGGCATCACAAATGGGACAGGTGTCCAAGGGGCTGTGACAGTACTGACTTGGGTGGACTTAATGCTGCAGTGTAACCACCTGCTAGGCTGGGACTGTAAAGACAAACACTGTGTCTGCTGCAGGGAGGCAAAATTGTTATGTAATGAGGCATACATTTGTTTCCTAGGAAATGTACCACATCAATGGAGGCTATTGACATGTTTGTGTTACAATGCTTTCTTTTATGGTTTTCAGGTCACTGGCTCAAAACTGCAGGAACTAGTAGTTCTAGTGTCTCTAACACAATGACAGTTCCTCCTTCCAGTGGAGCCATGACTAATACTTTGTATGCACTGTGCATCATAGAACTCTTATGAAAAGAGAGAAGATAAAGGTCACTTTTTTTTCATACTTTTGAAACTGAAGGCCTTGTCCAAAATCCAAGAATATCAGAATGGTATTGGAACCTTTCCCATTGCTTTCCAGGGCATGTAAAGCTTTGTTTGAAAGGTCACCTACAAGGCTGCAGAACATCTTGTATATAGATGTACTGCTTATGATCTCCAGAGTCACAGAGTAAAACAAAATTAAAAAGTGCTATATCATTTATGTGGAACACAAGACCTAAAGCAGCAGAGTAATACATGGAGAAATGGGTGAGTTTGCTTCAGGGATGAGAACAACACTGAATATATTGTGTTCTGGGGAACTGTCCTTGTCCCACTGCTCTTTATTCAGCTTTTCTAATAGCATTTCAAAACCAGGTGACCAGAATTTCCTAGAATATTGTGAATTAGGCAGGTCACACCAGGCCTAATTTAGTGGATGGGGGATAATTGCCATTCTTGTAATATTGTCCAAACGATGCTGACTGCAGGGAAAGCTGACACTTTCCTTACCAGGAGTGAGGATTTGACCTAGGACTGCTTGCTTTTTAACTGTAGGTGTGGTAACAATGCCCTTCACACAATAAATGATTTATACATCCCTCTAGTTTTGAAGTCTGAAAATTTGAATTCTACAAATTTTGAAGCCTATATAAGAAGGGCCCATTTGTTTTGAGTTCTATTGCAAAATTGCAGGTCTTAATTTTACTTTATAATGTAACTTTCTTACAGGTGCAGATTCACTCTACAGAAATAGTTTCAGCCTCAGTGATGAAAAGCTCAACTCTCCAACTACATCTACTCCAAGCTTGCCATCTCCATCAGTAACTCCATGTAAAGGTAAGCTTTAATTGTTGGCATTTCTTCCTAATTCTCAACTATGGAGGCTTCTTTCTATGAGCCAGGATTCACATGTGTACATTGACTTTCTTAATTGTAACAAATCCAATTATTACTGCAATAGCACATTGCATCGGCACATCTTTGCAGGTGACCTGCAACTCTTGGTTTTGAAACACCAAGCTGAAGAAAATTACAGTTTCTTGGTTGATGAGAAATTATGGTACTACTTACAGAACACTTCAGTTAATGCTTAACTTGCGTTACTTCTTACTGAAGCAACTAAGTAACTTAAGTGTCCCATCTATATACAGAAGTACTTAGCCTGAGTGCAGGGGTGCATTAGGTGACTCCTCTGAAGCCATATGCTGCCATTCAAGTTATCACAATTACTTAGATCCATACAGACCTTTCACTGCTGATACAATCCATTTATTAGTAATTTGTCCCTCCTTTGTAGCTATCCTGTTTCAAAGTCCTTCTGTCTTGCAGCTGATATAACTCCCCAGGAGCTTGTTTCGTTCTGGTTAACTTTAATGAACTCTAGAGTAGATATATCAATAAATCAATACGTATGTACTACATGGTGCTGTTATTACAACTAGTCTTCTCAGGCGCATGCTCAAGGAGCTTTTTGTGCTTTCATGTCTTTTCCACAGTGAGTGGTCACAAAAACAAGTTAAATGCGTACTTAGCATGATACAAGGGAAGAATAGCGAGTAATACTTAATAAGAAGTAGAAAAAAGAGTTCAGTTAAACTGGCAGGAAATACTTGGCAAAAGCTACACTAAAGGTCAAGATGCTGTTCCTGATGAGAATCATAGAAATAGAGTTGGAACTAGCTTGGAATAGGGATAAGGAAGCTACTTGGAGTAAAACAAGATTGAATGGAACCAGTGGTGTTCTACAGAATTGAGGTTTGTGTGAATTTTTGGATCCAAATTTATAGTGTGTGGACCAAGATCAAAAGATGTGACATCACAGCAAACCAGTGATCCTGACATGATTTAAGAGTCATATATTTGGGTAGGACTGGGAGATAACTGGCTGGGGTTTCATTAGGACCATGAATGCAGTATTTGAATAGATTCAATAAAGGAAACTCTCATGATAGCAAAGATGTGGCTTTTTTTCTCTACTTTAACTTCTGCTTTTTAAGGAAACTGAACAAAGGATTGCTTTGCTTTGTTTCTCTCAAATGGAGAACTATAAAAATTAGTTTTAATTCTCTCCTGTTTTCTAAGAATGCATTTGGACATTGCAGCAACCCTATTGAACTGCCCTGAAAATAGTCTACAGTGTGTCTGATATCACTGAAAATTATTTGGAGGGTTGTGTGGTTTCAGTGTTACTTTTGGTTGGAGAAATACATCATGTCTAAATAGCATTGACTCTTATTTTGCAGCAAAGCTTGGAGACACGAAAGAACTGGAAGACTTCATTGCTGATCTTGACAGGACACTAGCAAGTAGGTAGATTTTTATTACCTGCATCTCACTTGGTACTGTCAAAGAATGATGAAAACCCAGTGTACGAGGGGAGAGCGAAGGGAAGTAGGCTTCATTTTAGTTTGTCAGTCGCATGGATCATTAAGTGGATAAGAAGGTAAAATAGACTGAATTCTGGCCTTTGCCTGGATGTTCAAGGCATGCGGTTTAGCTTGTGTGACAAAGGCTGTACTTCAGTGAACCCTTGTCCCCACCTCTGAGGGAACCGCAGTTCACCTCTCCTTGACAGCGACAGGCATTAAGTAAACATCACTTTCTTAAATACTTAAAACTAGGCTAAAAAGTGGGACTTTTTCTTCATTGTGAAGATAAGCAACTGGAGGAATAACTGTAGGTGAGGAAACCTGTTTATACTGCATTTAGCTTTATGAAAGAATTAATAAGCAGGTATCTGTATTTATTATCTTAGATTAAATGTCAAAAACCTGTTTGTGCTTGTCAACCAGGAATGGAATTTAAGTCACTTCTTCCTGTCACTATCTAGATGTATTTCCCAGTTACAGTACTAGATTCTTCATTATCACTTTTAAAGAAAAACAATAAAACTAAAAAAACCACCCTCCTATTCCCAACCATGTAGTCTGCTTCTTTCTGGTTTTCTGTGCTGTTATGGATGTGACACTGTGTTTTTTTATGTATGGAACCAGACTGCAGAACCCAAACCAACAAATTTTTAGGATTAGACCTAAATAGCAGCATGAACAACCCCTCCCCTTCCAATAAACTGTGAACTGAGAGTTTCTTGTATTCATTAGGTATTTTCCCTTCTCTGTAATCATTGAAGCCTTGGCCATCTGCATTGGACTTAAGACAGCTGCCCTTTTGAGCTACTTCCTTGTCATCTTACTTGCATCTTAATCCCAGTTTCACTTCTCTTACTTGAAATATAATTCTGGTTTCCTGACTTCTGTCATGGATGTATGTTTGAGCTCATTTCATCTACACCACCGAAATCTAATCGGCTGCTCTTCTGAAAGACTTTTTTTTGGCTTTTATGTTCATTTAAAAAAGGCATAATTTTGGCCTGTCAGGCAGTCTAGCAAGCTGAACATAAGGGGTGTCTGGTATGTAAACAACATGCAGTCTTATTTAATGTAGAACTTAATGATCCTTCTTGTTCTGTATTTTCAGGTATGTGAAGGATAAGTGACATCAGTCTGAGACTGAGAACTGCTGCCCTTGTCTGATAACTTTGCTACCCAGGATATTTACCTTCTGAACATAACCTTTGTGAATTCCTACAAGTATTTAACTGGTAACATCAGTTTTGTGACTCTGCAGCAGATGGTATAAGACAATTCAAGCATTACAGCTGTATTTTACTTTAAAATATAGCTTGAATTTTAATTTAAATTTGCTTTTATGAAAATATTTGTTATTTTATATAGTTGAGAACTTCTAATGCTTTTTGCCATATAATATATTTTTGTATGCAAATAAACCCTGAACTGGAATCCAGGTGTCCGAAAGCTTCATGTGAGCATGCGAACTCTGAAACAGAAGTACAAATTAAGGTCAAGCTTTAAATTATCTGATAAAGGCATATTACCTGTTAGGCAAAATGCTATGCTGGCTTCATGTGGAATCTCCTATTTTTCTTTTTAAATTGCTTAAATAAGAGAATTTTGTACTATGTAAAATTAATATAATCAGAAAAATAAAAATATTGTTCAAACTGCTACTTCAGATTTGCTTTAATACAAATGGAATAACACTGACTTAGTACAGATTTGAACAATAACACCTATTTCAAACCCCATGTAACAGCTAGCTTTGAAATTACATGCTATTCTACTATTTGGGAGGTCAGGCATTTAGGCCCGTCGGTTTAGGTATGGAGATCCTCTATCACCAAGGCATAGTTAAATGTCTGGATGTTTCTGGTACCAGAACCTTTGGTCTGAAATACTCTCTTGCTCTTAAAAGTCTTCCTGACAGTCAGTGTTATGCTGAAATAGTGGAAGGTGAATCTGTAGTTTCACAAGGAACCCAATTGTTTCCATATGCAGTAGGCACTGGGGATGTCATTATGTGAGCTGTCTTCCAGCTGCTGCAGGCATTACACTTAGCTCTTCTGTCTGAGCTGCTCATGCAGTTGCTGCCCAATCTGTTCAGATCAAATGAGCTGGGCTTGTTTGAACTCCAGGTCTTATTTTGAGCAAAGCAGGCTTGTAAGCCATTGCATAAGTGGTTTAAATATTGTGTCTCATTGGTCATTTACCATCTTTGAATGTGTTTTTGTCTGGAGAAGGACATACCTGTGACTCAGCTACCAGCCAGTTCCTTAGGGACCTTACAGGACTGATTTTGACCTGCCTTCTGCAGCTAGAGGAAAGTACTCTGTATTTGCTAAGGGGAACACCATGAGGATGTTGCAAATCCATCTCCTTGCTTTAGATTTCCTAAAAATTGACTGAAACTTTTGTGTGTTATTAAATACTGTATGATTTTTCCAGTTTTACTTATTGGTAAGAAAGTAAAACACTGAACTGGGTACATGTTAAATGGTCTGAAACAATATTGAAGTGGTTATGTAGGTCTTTTCGTTACTTCAGACAGAAGGGCAATTTAAGAAGTATTTTTCTGAAGAGAAAATACTTCAACATTTTCTTCTGTAGATTCAATCGGTAAATTGCCCCTTAGGCTAGAGACGGAGTGAACTGATTTAGGAGGATGATGTTTCATGTTGTTGTAGCTTAACTACAAAAATCTCTGAAGGAAGGTGTGGTGGTTCAAGTTTGAGACAGCAGCTGTGCTCTGGGAGGCTCCTGCACAGCAGGAACCCCATTTTGAGCAGCAAGGTAGGCTTGCTCCAGCAAAACCAGAGCATAATGGAAATCTGGGTCTATGTTGTAAACACGTAAGAGTAAATCCTCCTTTTATCTGCCTATGTGAAACCAAGAGGGGAACCTGTCCCTTCTCCCCAGTCCCAGATGCAAAGGGATGTGTTGCTGTGCAAAGCTAGTGAGGGGCATTCTCTTGGCTAGTGTAGGACCTGCTGTTACATAGAGAGGCACCAAGGCTTTCAGCAGGACCTAAGGTAAGGGGAACCAGGACAGCGGAAACAAGCTCTTACTTTTCCTTTAAGAAACATCTTTAGCATAGTGCATATTTTTCACACTGCTTGAATAGCTGCAGCAGTTTCGGCTGTTATTCTATATTTTAATGCCCTTTGGTAGGGTAAGTGATAGTGTTGGTAAATGGTGGATTTTACCATCATAAAGTCAGAATACTCCAACTATGTGTGGCTGCCTCAGGCAATGGTGAGGTGGGGGGAGACAGACAGTGGTTTGTTCTTCTGTTGCTCAAGGTTGTATTAGTTTGAGGCACTGGGCCTGAGTGCTTTCCATCTACAGGTTCAGTTAACACTCAATCCAATTGAACACTAGGCCCAATAATCAGTATTTACAGTTGGATGTCTCCTTTCATTGAGTGAAATCACCAAATTGCTACAGTAATTTGGAATGACAATACTTTGTCCTTACAAACAGCCAATTCTGAAGATTTTTCTAGTATAACCAGAGGTTTAAAGTGAGGCATGTCTCTCACTTTGTGTAATGCCACTTGGGAATGGAGTTGGGGATTAAATGACCATCTGTTTGTGTGTTTTAATCTTATTTATGCATGAAAAAGTGGAGACTTCTGCTTGCTTATACAGCAGTTCTGCTGACAATCAGCTGCAAAATCTGGGAGTGTCTTCTGCGAAGCTGTTGATCTGAATTCCTTCAGTGTATTAGGCTCAATTTTGAATGTCTTGCTGTGTCAGAAGAAAGGCATTAGTGTAGATGTCATTCCACTGGAGTATCCTCACAACTGAAGTTCATCATCTCATTACCTATGGCGCTGAGAAATGCATTGCTGAGAAAAGTTCCCGTGACACTCAATCCCCAGTGAGCATTGCTGGAGGCTGCACTGTGCTTATGGACCAGTTTTAATCCTTGTTTTGACCTCCCTCTCACACTGTGATGATGAATTTGGATTCAGAAGAGAGTCATAACCCTGTTGTGCTAATGCTACACATCCAGGAGTGGAAACGAGGAGCTTAGACTAAGCAGATGTATTGCTGCAGCTTGACGTGTGTAAGGTGAGGCACAACAATCATTTACATGTATGCTCTTTACCTACAGCAAATTCAAGGTTAAACGGATTAGTTTAAACCTCTGCCACTGAGGCTTGAGCTAATGTGCTTTATCTTGGGTTTGCTATTGACTGTGTGTGTCCTCAGTGCCATCACCCAGGCTCAGCTGATATATGGTCACTCATTAAGCTTGGTAAGGTGCTCATTTTTCTGAGTCCTTAATAAAGAAGAGAGAGGAGCAAAAAGAGGGACTTTTCCTTTTTTCCTTGCTGCATGCATGTCTAGCCACTATTGGTGCACTGACAGCCAGGTGAGTTCTTGGGAGAGAGAAAAACAGTTGGGTTGGTAGTGACAGAGCTTGCTGATAGGGAAGGGCTCAACACCTGCTGGCTCCTACAGTCTGTTGTCTGGTGCCTCCCGCCACTTCTTTGTTACTGATATTTGCTTTGCAGTATATGCTGGGTGTGGAGCTGATTAGCAGCAGCGTTGCCTAATGCAAAGGGTTAGAGAGGTAAGGATAAACCATGCTCTGAATTTCACAGATTCATTGAAGCCTTGGTTTCAATAGTGGGTGCTTGCAAAGAGAAAACCCAGAGAGAGCGCTTCTGCCTGCTGGGAAACATTTGTGTCTGCAAGCAGAGATTTATTTACTTATTTTAGTTCATATCATGAATTGTTGCTTTTAGGTCATTTTCTAGCAGTGTCACACCCTGCGTGAAGTGAAAGGAATTCACCAGTGTGAAAGGTCCACCCAACGTGAGTCTCTGTAGAGGAACTCAAGTGGTGTTCATCACAGATGGACCTGGTTGACCATCCAAGAGGTATTTGCACCACACTGGAGCCCATCCTGCATGAGATTTCATTTATCTGAAGGTACCTAAATGTGCTAGACAAGACATCTGCTAGGCTGTTGGAAAGGAACTTCCAGGGTTGTGGTGTCTGGAAGCAAAGCGAGTTATCATCAAGCCAATATGACAGCAGCAGCTTTTGAACTAGATCCAGCTCCATACTCTCAACGGGGAAAACTCCTGTTTTCTATGTTACTTTCTACATTACTGATTACATTGCAGCCTGGCTAACAGCTCTAGCTGTCTAAATAACTTCACAATAATGTAAGATGATCCTGGCTGTTATATCTTATTGGCTTAGAGTTGTAAACCAGATCTTTTCAAGGTCCTTTTCTTTCTTACAGATTTGAAGCTATTCGTTGCATGCTATGGGTTGGTTTGTGGGATTAAAATAGGCCAGTCAACACAAAGGGATGCTAGCGCTTTGTTCAGCTTTGCTCTTTCACATCTATGTTTTGAAACCAAAATATTCATCAGTTCTGCTTTTAAAAACTACAGACTAGAGGCCTGTGCTTCCATTCTCCCAAGGCATCAGAGCTCACTGACTGCTCTGGGAGGCTTGGGGATGCTCCAGTGAGCTTTGCCCAGAGAAGCTGTGGATGCCTCATTCCTGGAAGTGTTCGAGGCCAGGTTGGATGAGGTTTTGAGCAACCTTGTCTAATGGAAGGTGTCTCTGCCATTGACAGGGAGTTGGAACTGGGTGAGCTTCAAGATCCCTTCCAACCCAGCCCATTCTGTTATTTTATGATAGTATGATCAAGGAAGTAAGTGTTGCCTTCTCCATAGAGCATGGCTGTACTACTAATCACCATCGTTCGGTTGTGTTTATAATATCATTTCACATCAGTATTTGTAATTAAGTGCATTGCCCTTGTGGGAAAAAACATCCCTGGAGGTAGGAGGTATTTAAAAGATGTATTGATCCGGTGCTTAGGGACATGGTTTAGTGGTGGACTTGGTAGTCCTGATGTAATGGTTGGATTTGATGAGTTTAAAGGTTCTTTCCAACCTAAATGATTCTATGATTCTGCATATAAACCTATGCAGGCTCTGTATATATAGACTGTATATATGAAGTCTTCACATTATAAACCAAAACAAAATCTTGCTAGTGTATCAAATTGGATCAGGACCAATCCCACCTGACTTAGGTGCTTACATAAAGCACTGAAGTTAGGATGGTGCCTTTGGGTCCTTCAAATAGCTATTACAGAGAAAGGAAGGCTGAATTACCCTTAATGGTGTTCATTTGCTACAGAGAACATTGCAAAAGTCTATGGATGAGCAGACTTTTCACTTGGTCTTCTTAATCAATTGCCTAAAGAAAAGTGTGTTGAAATATGCTCACCTATAACTGACCTTAGAGTGTAACAGTTTTTAGGGCTGGAATAGCAGAGGCAAAATTTCCCTGGTGTTGAGGATTACCTGTTCTGGGGCCTCTGCATCACACTGTGCAAGCATAGCAGCTTGCTTCAGCACTGTGGCTTGGAGCATCTGTCATCCTCGCACTGCTGGGTAGTCTGCTGAGCCGTTTTGGTAAGTACTGGGACCATGGCCTGGGAGCTAAGTCCACATGAGATGCTGCAGGGTAAACCCATGAGAACTGTGGTGTGAAGCAGAGCTGCCAGAACAAGCTGGAGAAGAAACATACACCTCATCCTCACTGCCGCTACTGCACTGCCTGCCAGATCCTGCTCTGCCAGACGGGGTGAGAAACCCCAGTCAACTTATTTGGCAGGATGAAGGAAATAACAG